CCATATCACATTTTGTACTACTGAGCATGTGTGTTACAGTGTAAGTGAATGTATGATTATGTCTTATTTTATACATTTATTTGATTGTAATCACTGATGACACACACAAGCACACTCATTTATGATTGAATGAATAAAGTGAAAATTAAAGTTAAATAAAAGAATAATAATATAATGTGTAAATGAAGATAGATAAATTAATACCTTGCTAATTAATGAACCATACACCATTTGTGACTGCTCATTACCTTTTCTGTATATTTTAATATTAATTTTATGTTAAAGCACTGTAAACAAAGACTGAAATGGTTATTTTAGATACAATTATCTCTTAATCAAGTATTTACTCTCGTATGATATTTCAGATTGATATGGCTTTATGCATGTAACCTGGGATTATTTACTTTGCAGGTTTTCTCATTGAATAAACTGAACACAGTTGTAGATGAATTCTGGGCAGAAATCTCTGAGGCAGTTGACAAGATGTAAGTGAATATGCTTGTTTGTTATTGTGCTTTGTCTGCTGGACCATCTTAAGGATGTAGATAACAGGGGTAGCTATCTTCTAAACCGGCTAAGATATACCAACATGTTACATATCAATAGAAAGCTTATTTCAACAGCTCTTCATTTCATATCCTTATTTTATTATGTAATCGTTACGTAATGAGATATAATGCTTAATAGGTGTGCTCAACATGATCTTTACACCTTAAAAACTAGAAGTCCACTACAAATGGACATGTGTAGACAGCTTGACTCGTGAGCCCTCATAGGGATCAACAAGAATGCGCCTCAAATTAGCGATATGTGTTAAATTAGCAGAGATATCAAAATAAACTTGGTTTCCAGTTCAACGAGACCCCCTAGCCTAACTAAAGCATGCCTAAGTTGAAAACGGAGCTGATGTTATGAAATCCCAGACACATACTTTCAGACAAACCTTAGATCTAACGAATGAATACCAGCTTTCATCGGTTGAGAGTTCTAATTAATTTTGACACTGGTCTAAATCGTTCTCTTGAAGCCATAAACTGAAGCGGAGAAATCAGCCTTTTAGTGCTCCCCGGAGATTCCAACGTTATATAATCAGTGAGCTGCATTGGCAAGCTGAGAAATTTAGTTATTTATACTGGTTCAGCCCTCTACTCACTGCCTATGTAACTGTCACTATGTCTTTCATCCATTTTCAACATTATTATTGAACATTTTCAACCGGAGGCCCCCTCCATGTATTGACAGCAGCCACCATGTTAGTCGTGACGTCAGCCTTCTTCACCACGTGACACCTAGGGGGAGTGCCTTTGCCCATATACGTCTCATCTATATGTCTGCTTTTTAAAGCTTTAATAGATCGTCAGAATTAAGTTCACTGATAAATTCAAAATGAAAAGTATTGTTTGGCAAGTGAAAGCGCGACGTTACTCACAGAATGTGAAAGGCTTAGCAGCAATCTAGTACGGGAAATATACAGCTGCACAGTGGAGCTGCCAATCAAACACACATATGGACAAGTGTAACCTACTTTAAAACTCAGACACGCTACCACAGGGGTAAATCAGCAATTAGGCTAAAATTACGGGTTTATTTGTAAACTTCCATTATTTTAAGATAGGCTGATATGTAGTTGATATTTCATCTATCTAATACTGACAAATTCAGAAAAACACCCAAATTTTGACAATTTACTGTTATCTACATCCTTAAGTTGGTCATGAAACACTAATATCTCTGGCCACATTCAGAATAGGGGACTAACTAATCCGAGGGTCAAATATGGCCGACCCACTTGAATACTTTCCCACAGGATATCTTTTCAGTGTCTGTTAGTGGATTAGACGGCAAGCTTGGTAGTGGGTCACCATATTTGACCCTTGGACTAGTTAGTCCCCTATTCTGAATGGGGCCTTAGGCAGACTTGTCTAACTTTTTGCCTGCCAGCCAAATTAAGTTGAAACTCTTGAAATCGCATGGTACATCCCCTCATAAGATTTACAAAAAAATACTAGTACCAGTAAGTTAAATAACTATAAATGTTTCTTATTCTGTATGTGAAACTGAAAACAGCAAGTATTTCCTCTGTCACGTTATGTGCTCAAAGTTACAATTACTGTTTCAAGGGTGTAAGTAACTCCAAACAAAGTGTTTGTTTGAGGAAACGGCTTTTTGTAAAGTAAAAAATGCTAATTAAATAAAGTGTAAGTTTTCAGCTCCCAAACTCTGGAATAAATATATAAATATTAGCTTTAAGGGGCAATTTTTTCACTTGGATGATTGAATAGCTAAAATGAAATGAAGTTTACATATATGTATGTGTTGATACATGTGTTGTTATCTTACAGTGAGATGCTGTATGAAGATACCACCTTCAAGCACAGAGAACTGGCAGCTCTGGTGGCTTCCAAGGTAACGTACACTATACAGTTAAATTATGTTCTTTACTTTTTTGTTTTGTTTTCCTGCCTACGTGTTCTGTAGATGTTAAAAAAGTTAAATCAGTTGCTATATGCTTTTGTTACAAACTGCAAAATTACTCACATGAGATATTTCCATGGACAGTCAGGTATTTTCATCATGTCCCATAGCTGAGAGTATTTGGTGCTGCTGAGGTTTTTCCAGTATTAGCACTCTTTATGAAGATTTTCTCAAAACAGGGGAGATAGTTGTCTCTTATTTTTCTCACCAATTATCGCTTCTATTTCAGACAAAGCTCTGCAACCTTTACTTTATCTTTTACAGAAAGTGTAAAGAATATATTTAAATTTAGGGGTACTATCTCCTTGGCGCCTTTGAAGAGTCAGTCATGTACATGCTCATATGTAAAATATTTCATAATTATGTTTCTATTTTAGGTGTACTACCATCTTGGGGCCTTTGAGGAGTCCGTCACCTATGCCCTGGGCGCTGGCTCTCTCTTTGATGTCAACGACACTTCGGAGTATGTTGAGACTATTATTGGTAGGTAAAGCTTATTGACTAAAAAAAATAAATAAATACTAAGGTAAATAGATAATTAAATGGATAGATAAATGAATAGATATTTAATATATGCATCATACTGGTTATGGATTTGTGTGTGAAAAGAAACTGGCAAGACTTGGGCATATAAGTATTTAACATCAGGATAACAGAGACAATGAAAATGACAAGGTGCCCGCAGATGCTTGACATTCTCAGCAATAAAATTCAATAAGGTAGAATTTTTAGAAAATGCAGTCCAATTTCCCTTCTATTTCTTCAGCAAAATGCATTGATAGTTACACTAGAATGAGAGTCCACAATGCAGAGAGCGATGAAGTTGACCAGAAACCCATGGATTCCCGTCTGGAGGCAGTGGTGAACCGAATGTTCCAAAGATGTTTTGATGACAAGCAGTTCAAACAGGTTAATGTCTCATATCTTCAGATTAATTTATTGTCATCTAGAAATTCTTTTCAGCGTAGTAAATTGATTAGATTATGAGTTTTAAAATGTGTAATTTGTCTGTTAATAAATGAAAATCAGTAGAATATAATGGTTATATTTCTTTCTCTGGTACTGTGGATTATTGATGATAGTGATAAAAACTTGCAGATTTTAAATACACAAATTATTGTTGTTCATGATATGGAACACTCAGAAATTAATGTGCTTTACTTTGCCAATTTCAGGCTGTAGGCATTGCCTTAGAGACCAGGAGAATTGACATCTTTGAGAAGGCCATTCTGCAACCTGTAAGTACCTGTCTATAGAAATGTGGAGGGGTTATTCCACAAAGAAAATCATAATCTCATCACACCAGTTGGGCAAACATTTTGTGCAATACTTGCATAACTATTTGATGCCATTTTGGTTACTGATGTTTTCTTTACACTTTGGAAATTTACCTGAAAGTAATGTATGAAACAGAGAAAATGGTTGGAAAGGAATTAAAAAATGTGCAAATATTACTCGAAATGTGAGCATCACTGAGCCTCACTAAGAGGGGCACTTTCCTTTGTGGAATGACCTGCCTAAGTCTTTTAGTCCACAGGCCCTCTGAGACACCATGGACTAAGAAAGCTGAATCGTGGCAGTTATCTGATCATAGTTATTTTACTGGCCTTCACATTTAAGTTTGTGGCCAGTGTTATGGCTGCAGTCAATTGCTTTGCAAAAGTAATTTAAACTAAGAGTTGACCTGAAGATTTTTGAGCTAAATTTTTGTCTACTTTGATAAAGGATAATTTAGTATAATCAGGTCTACTGCCTTGGTCTACTGCTAACTTTATTATAAAACTTGTTAACTTTATAACATGTTTCAATGATTGGTCACTGAATGAATTATTTTACGTAATTCCAGGATAGTGTGTCAGACATGATGACGTACGCCTACAAGGTGACGATGTCCCTGATCCAGAACCGTCAGTTCCGAAACACCATTCTCCGCGTGCTGGTCAAGATGTACATGGGACTCGCCACACCAGACTATATTAATGTCTGCCAGGTAATTTATATGGCTCTGTTATCACATGGTTTATTATGGACCTGTGTGTGTGTGTGTGTGTGTGTGTGTGTGTGTGTGTGTGTGTGTGTGTGTTCATTTGTTGTAATGTAAGCCAGATAATTTATGAATATTAAAGATTGCCTTGGCTTCACTTTATATCACATCTACCATGATGCTCTTTTCACATTGGCCTGTATATTTCAGTGTTACATCTTCCTGGATGAACCTCAAGCTGTGGCAGAGATCCTGGAAAAACTGGTCAAGGACAGTGAGGTAGGTGAATGGTTCAGTTTTCCAACTCCTTTTTATTTCCTTCACATATTTTTTCATTTGTTTCAAGGACTTCACATGGTAGTTTCTGCAATATTGGCCTCAGAGCATTTTACTTATGAAAATGTTTTGTGACTTTTTTGTTCCTTCAAATATTTTTGATGTGCTTGAAGGACTAAGCAGGTAATTTTTTGCGATATTGGCCTCAGGGCATTTTACATATGATTGGCTCACAGTAAATATACTAGACATTCCAAAATGGGCTGTCCTCACCAGTGAGAGTTCCCCCCTCCCTTTCCAGGAGAGCACCCTGATGGCATACCAGATTGCCTTTGACCTCTATGAGAGCGCCACTCAGCAGTTTTTACAGCGAGTGCAGTCGGCACTGAGGTCCACGGCACCTATCCCTATCCCAACAACGCCAGTAGGGAAGGCCACCAAACCAGAGGACTCTAAAGAGAGGTCAGTTGTTTTACAATTAACAAAATTAAACTTATTAAGACTCTGAATTGAAATAAGTGACAAAAATTTTCAGCTAATATATCACACATGAGGCATCCATTTTACCAAGAACCCTTAAAATAGAAATTAGTTTAGATTACATATTTAAAATATATATAGTTAAATGAAGTTTGTGGTAATAAAATTGTGCATTTTAGAGCTGAAACTGTAAAACAATGTTGTCTTCATGTTATAAATGGCAATTATCGTATGATTCTAGTACTATGGAGACAGAGGACAGTACAATTGATGCAGACAGTGGGAAGACAGCTGAGAGTGCCACACCCAAACTGGAGGATTTGGTGAGTCTTCACGAGAACATGTTGTGTATCAGTTATAAGTCTCTAATTAGAAAAGTTGAGTTAAATGCTTTATGGAAAGAAGTGGCTTTTAAGCAGTTATTTGGTGAATTTCTTTTCTATTTTTCTTCTTATGGTTTTGTAATATTCACTTTTTTTTAGTATCATATGATATATTGTTCACGGATGTGAAAAAAATTCGTTTGCAATTGCAAATTGATCTTCAAAAGAAATAGTAAGATATACTTTCCTCAGTTTGTCAAAGATCAAGTCAGGGCACAAGTACATTTGTTGAGTTACTAAATATGTAATGTTGTTTTAATGAAAATGACAGTAATTATAATAATGATGTAATACTGTTGTAATTCCAGAGTGAATCTGACCGTAAGCTCCAGGAGCAGTTCACCAAGCTCCATACTATCCTAGGAGGTGACTTCAGTATTGCTCTCAACCTGCAGTTTCTTATCAGGAACAACAAGACAGACATGTTGATACTGAAGAATACCAAGGTAACCACCACTGTTTGATGAATCTTTTGGATCTAATGTGATAAGATTGTGTGTAGGTTGTGCATGAAAACAATATAGCAGGAACAATAATTGATTTTTTTTTAATGTGGTATTGTCACCTTACCTTTGACCTTCACCTTGACCTTCACCTTGACCTATATCTATTTCCAGGAGGCAGTACGCAACTCTATCTGCCACACAGCCACTGTGATGGCCAACGCCTTCATGCATGCCGGCACTACATGTGACCAGTTCCTCAGGTAATAGATGATAATGATGATAATAATAAGATGATGATGAGGATGATGATGATACTTGTTAAGATCTGATTTTTAACTGAATTGGCTCTGATATGTTCATAGAGCTGTTGATATTTGTATAAAAAAAAAAAATAATAAACAGGGCATTTAATAGTAAATAATCATACTATGATGTTAAAAAGTTCTTATATTTTTAACATATGACAAAAAATTCATAAAATGAAACTTTCATGAGGATTGCTTTATTTCTGAAAAAAAAAATTAACTGTGATGTGAAGTGTAGTTTTCTTGGGCGCAAAATACACTGACCTTGACACTGACCTACTTCTAGGGACAACCTGGAGTGGCTGGCCAGGGCCACAAACTGGGCCAAGTTCACGGCCACTGCCAGCCTCGGTGTCATCCACAAGGGTCATGAGAAGGAGGCTCTGAACTTGATGTCCACCTACCTGCCCAAGGACACTGGTCCGGGGTCAGCTTACAGTGAGGGTGGTGGTCTGTATGCTCTAGGTAAGTTATCAGGAATTTTTCTGGCTGACAGCAGGAATCTGTGTCTCC